GGGTCAGCATTATGGTGTAGTGGGTTAAGTCATCACCTGCGAAGCCAGCATCCCATATGGGTGTCGGCTCATGTCTCCATTACTCCACTTCTGATCCAGCTCCCTGCTAATGCACCTGGGAAAGCAGCTGAAGATGGCCCAAGAGCTTGGGCCCCTGTCACCCACATGGGAGACCCAGATGAAGCTCCTGGCTCCTGGCTTTAGCCTGGCCCAGCACTGACTGTTGCAGCCATCTGGGAAGTAAACTAGGGTATGGAAGATCGATCTCTCTCTCTCTCTCTCTCTCTGCCTTTCCCTCTGCCTCTGTAACTTTGATTTTCAAAATAAATAAAATAAATCTTTAAAAAAAATTGGAAGACAAAATTTTGGATGTTTTCACCATAAAGAAACGCTAAGTGTTATAATAAGAGAGATATATTTATGCTGACAGACATCACACAATGTATACACAAATTGAAATATCACGTTACCCCATAAATATGTACAATTTTTATCTTTGTGTTACAAGACAAGAAAGAGGCAGAGATGGGCGGGAGAACTAGTGGTTAAGCCGCCAGTTAGGACGCCCGTGTGCCTCAGAGCACCCAGGGTTCAAGTCTCCACTCCAGCTCCTGCTAATGCAGATCCTGGAGGCACCAGCACGGCTCGCGCAGCTGCCTTCCCACCACCGACGTGGGGCATCTGGACCGCGTCCCAGCTTTGGCCTCCCCGGGCCATTACAGCCATTCAGACAATAAACCAGTCAATGGCAGCCCAAGTGCAATGCCCACTCCTGTCTGTCGGTCAGTCTTTCTCCAACAAACAATCTTTTAAAAGGAGGCAACTTAACTGAATTCATTTATGTTATATAAGGTAGTCAAGCCAAAACAAACAGAGCAGCTTGCACTGGAGAGCAGATGAGCCCTACTTGAGGGGACGTCTGTAGGAGTGCTTGTCTGACTGGCACCTGGTCTGTGCTGGAAGTCTCCCTATCCCATCCGAGCGATGCTGCCATCAGTCCCCTCGGTCTCCTCCCCAGTCCCTTGTGCTCAGGAACCAGGTGTCCTTTGTCCTGAAGATCACTAATTGCCGCTGGGGAAGACAATGGTCACTCACCGTGTTTGGAAGCTGGAGCTACAAGAACGACATACATCACCACGTGCAGCCACATGGACAGAGTCTGTCACACAGTAAGGCCACACGAAGCGGGGGCAAAACCAAGGCCTGCAGGCGGTGAGGCCTGAACCCCGATTCTGCACTGCCCAGCGCTGGAGAGTCACCCCTGTTTCATCACTGCTGCCCGAGCCAGCACACTTCCTATGTGATGAACTTCACTCACGTGGCGTCTCCAGCTTAGTAACCCAGAGTCCTGACCAACACGGTTCGTCAGAGTTTGCTCTCAGAAAACCGCTGAGGTCCAGTATCCTAGGAAGGGCTTCCACAAGCTGCTGTGTCTGCCCATGCAGTACCCACAGATGGAGCATGGGCAAGGGAACAAAGCTGATTCCGACTTCAGATCAGGGACGATCACCAAAGGGAAACGCAGAGACAGAGGATGAGGCCGGGCAGTCACGGGCAGTGCACTGAAACACACTCCTTCTACTCACACAACTACGCACGCCAATCTGGGAACAGCATGACTCTTATATTTTCTCTCACGACGTTTAACAGAAAACCACATGGCTACATATCAGTAAGTATAAAATTTAGGAACGTACTTATTACAAATCAAATATACAATTCTACCATATGCTTGTAAAAAGTGCGTATGACTTTTTAAAATACACATTCTCCACAACTTCAATTGTCTTTGAAAAGTTTCTATTTGTACCTTACGTTCTAAGATTGAAGTCATACAGAAACTTAAAATACAGCTGTCTTAGAGTTTTCTAGAACTCAAGATTTGAGTTTTCATTCTCATCTTTCTGAATTAGCAGTTTACCTTATTAAAGTATGTTGATTTTCCCTGTTAACATTTTGAATACAAAAATTATATATAATTGGATATACATAGAAGATAATCCTAAAAATGAAGTCATAATATATTAGGATCCCAACTCAAGGTGATTTAATATTTATATTGCTTGGGGCCAGCACTGTGGCGCAGTGGATTAACACCCTGGCCTGAAGCGCCAGCATATGGGCACTGGTTCGAGACCCCGGCTGCTCCTCTTCCAATTCAGCTCTCTACTATGGCCTGGGAGAGCAGAAGAAGATGACCAAAGTCCTTGGGCCCCTGCACCTGCTTAGGAGACCCAGAAGAAGCTCCTGGCTTTGGATCGGCACAGCTCCAGCCGTTGTGGCCAACTGGGGAGTGAACCATCAGATGGAAGACTTCTCTCTCTCTGCATCTCCTCTCTCTGTGTAACTCTGACTTTCAAATAAATAAATAAATCTTTAAAAAATATTTATATTGCAGAGAAACACAGGACTCTTACTTACATCCTTTCAAAGTAGACATATGAACAAGCACCTACAAATCCACTTTAAATTTTTAATTTGCTGAAAAGAATAAACAATTACTGAAAACAGTACTCTTCAACAAATTTTCAATATGGTTTGCTTCTGACACCATGACTTCAATCATTAAAACTTTAGTTTCCCCCTTTCAAGTCCCTTTTACAGTGTTAACCGCAAGTCCAGCTTTTGGCAGCTGTGGCTATCAACAACACAGTCTATACTTCCAAACAGCCAGGGGTTAATGCCAAGCCTTCCGCAGAGTTCCTGGCTACAGAGAGCAGAGTGACTTCTGTAAATGACGCAGCCTGCAGAAGTGAGGGTGCTTGAAGAAACGGCCAGGGGACGCGTACTGGGCTCCAGGGGACGCATACTGGGCTCCAGGGGACGTGTACTGGGCTCCAGGGGACGCGTACTGGGCTCCAGGGGACGTGTACTGGGCTCCAGGGGACGCGTACTGGGCTCCAGGGGACGCGTACGGGGCTCCAGGGGACGCGTACTGGGCTCCAGGGGACGCATACTGTGCTCCAGGGGATGTGTACTGTGCTTCAGGGGACGCGTACTGGGCTCCAGGGGACGCGTACTGGGCTCCAGGGGACCTGTACTGGGCTCCAGGGGACGCGTACTGGGCTCCAGGGGACGCGTACGGGGCTCCAGGGGACGTGTACTGGGCTCCAGGGGACGCGTACTGGGCTCCAGGGGACCTGTACTGGGCTCCAGGGGACGCGTACTGGGCTCCAGGGGACGCGTACGGGGCTCCAGGGGACCTGTACTGGGCTCCAGGGGACGCGTACTGGGCTCCAGGGGACGCGTACGGGGCTCCAGGGGACGTGTACTGGGCTCCAGGGGACGCGTACTGGGCTCCAGGGGACGCGTACGGGGCTCCAGGGGACGCGTACTGGACTCCAGGGGACGCGTACTGGGCTCCAGGGGACCTGTACTGGGCTCCAGGGGACGCGTACTGGGCTCCAGGGGACGCGTACTGGGCTCCAGGGGACGTGTACTGGGCTCCAGGGGACGCGTACTGGGCTCCAGGGGACGCGTACTGGGCTCCAGGGGACGTGTACTGGGCTCCGGAATTGTACCCAGAGTCGTGCTAGAGGCAGAGTCGCTTAGGCTGCCTGTGATGGCAGCGCAGCACCACCAGCACCGTGGTTCACCTATGGCTGGAAGATGCTAGCACTGCTGCAGGGGTGAGAGGGACGCCCCTGTTCATGACTGGAGGACGGACAGCTACAGGACAGCCAAACTGCGGCCCTGATGCGAGGTCTCGTTCTAACAGCAGGCCTCCAGCTGTCGCAAGAGTCATGGGGACTGTCTGGCCCCTTTAGGCTTCCGCAGAGGGAGGTGGGATCTAAAGCACGTGGAACGAAGACACAGTGAGACGCCAATAAAAATAACTTACTGTTCTCCTCAGTCATGGTTTAAGTGATTATGAGGAAAATACTGTTTCCACAAAGATACTATATGATTTTTTTAAACTCATTTATTTATTTGAAAGGCAGAGAGAGAGAGAGACAAAGACAATGACAGGAAAAGATCTTCCATCCACTGGTTCACTCCTCAAATGACCGCAAGTGCCAGGGCTGAGTCAGGGTGAAGTCTGGAGCCAGGAACTACATCCTGTCTCCCTCGTGGGTCACAGTAGGCCAGATACGTGCAGGAATAACAATTTTACCTCCACTTACAGTTCATTACTTAGCCAAGGAATGGAAACTCTGATAAGGTCAAGAACACAACTCAAATACTGAACTACGGAAGGACATAGTTGCTATTTTATTCAGGCTCTTCAACAAACACATCTTGGGTTTCTGTTAAGTGTCAGGCCCTGTAACCAGTAAAACCACCACTCTCTCTCTAAGTGCTAACATTAAAAGACACAAGAAGAAAGACAGTAAATAAATGAATACAAATGAGACCCGGGCTGTGCAAAGGAGGTACGGAGTAGGAGGACACAAAGGAGATAGAAAGCAGGCCCAGTGCTTCAGGGGACAGCGTGTGCTACCTGCGTGAGAGGAGGGACTAGAGAGGACAATACACGCTCCAGGTAAGGAAACAGGACCTGCAAAAACCCAGGACGGTAGGAATTACACACATTTGATGACACGCAGGCAGAATCACAAGCAGGATATGGACTCTACCTGAGTCACAGAAGTACAACATAGTAGGGAAATGAAACTCGTCTATGAAAGCAGTTTGGGCTACAGGACCAGAAGGTTCCCTGGAGTAGACTATAAAGACCATGAAAACAAACGGCACGAAGTTTGGCTATGAGAAAGCAAGAAAGAGGGTCATAGCTGTAACAGCCAATTGACTTGTGTGTTGCTTGCATGCGACACTTGGATTAAAGTGAACATAAGAAGCCAAAAAGATGGAGGACAGAGCCTAGAGGGAAACCCCAGGTACCTAATCAGGTGGGGACGGCAGAGGGAAGTCAGACAGCACTCACCCTGGGCTCCGAGGTCTTGCAGGTGGGTGGGGTAAGACTGCCTGAGAAGGAGCCTGCAGACAGAGAGGAGGGTCAAGTGACGGCTCGTGCCTAAGGGAGACAAGAAGTAAAACAGGAAGGAGCTAATAAAGAGATCTCATCAGACACAGGGGAAGCAACGGGAGGCAAGATGTCCATATCTGGAAAATTCCCATGTTACTCAAACGCAGCTCTCCTGAGCAGAGTTCAACGCTAGGCCCAGGCAGGCCTTTCTGCCAGAAGTGCTCTGTCCTTTTGTCATCCTTCGTCTCTGAGAGCTCTGGGCAATAAACAGACGGGAATTCCTCCCATTCCTCAGGACTCCGACCCTGTCGGTTCCCACACACTTTCAAAGGCCAAGGAGAAGGGGAGAGGGGCACCTGAGAGAGGGCGAAGCCCAGGAGCAGACTGCTTGAACCTTCTTTGCAACACACAGACCCCTTTGTTCACCAGTATCTGCCAAGGACATGAACAGCTGCTCCGCTGAAGGTTCTGGTTAGACTCCCCTGCGGCTGCCCTCGGCCTCCCCACAGCTCACAGGGAGCAGCCACCTAGGACCTCAGAGTACAAATGGGCCTTTTGTTCATAAGGAACAAAAAAAGGAAAACTTACATGCTTGCTTAAACACACCCTAGCTGGCCTCGCTTAAATTGAAACAATACAGAGATCTATGGGCACAAAGCTCCCGCCAATAACACAGAGGCTTACTTTAACAATCTCCCTGTCTGTACTCGGCGGTGGAACCTGATCATCTTGGGGGAAGACCCTCTACGTGTCAAAACTTTCGTAAGGCATTTCGCGTATGTGACTGCATGCCAGGCTTTCAAAGTCGTATTACCTTTTTCAAAACAGGAAGTCAAGGTCTAGAGAGGTCAAGAACCTTGCCCCGGTCACACGGTGACAGAGCCAAAGCGTCTGTAAAGCCGGGTCCATCACCTCCCCCCGTCTCCGGTCTCCAAGCTCATCAGTGTTACACAGGTCCCCCACTACTGCTGCTACAGAGAATCCTCAGCTAAGAGCCCGCACAATGTTTCTCCAGGTACAAGTAGGACAGCTCAGCCCCGAGGATCACCACTAGCTGTTTCAGAGTAACAGTGCATTCCACAGTCATCTAAGCAGACCTCTGCTCATTCTGTTTTCTTCTGGCAAAAAAATGGTTCTCCCCACTGCTCAGAGTAAAAGCTGACGCTACTTCTTCAGGCTTGGTGTTCACGGTACCCTAACACGTACCTACACCCACAGGACTGATGAGCATCTACCCCATGAGGTAGTATTAACCAGTATTACCAACTCTGGAAGGCTGGATGATGGTCCAACTGAAAGATGTGTCTATATGTAAGCAACAAAGGTCATGAAACAAGTATTGGCGCAATAATCACTACATAACAGGACCACAAGAAAACAGCCACTAAGTTCAAGTTACTGTGAAGCTGACTTAACTGCCAGCTTCAGAAAGAAAAAGCCATAAACAATGAAGTACAAAGTTAGATAGATAATGGCTGCACACAAAAGGATTAAACGATTCAAAAAACAGAGAACTACGGCTCAGACAGGAATGTCCGCCATGCCTGTGCATGCAGCTACACGAGGAAGCACATCAACTGGCCTCTCGGAAATAACTGCGGGCAACACAGTCTCATCTGAGGTCCAGAAAACCTTTTTCAGTAGTCATTACTAGGGTATTTGTTTCTCAAAGTATCATGAACCCAATGCTTTATTATTCAGAATACAGAAAAACACAGTAAACTGTGAAATTTAAAGAGGAGACTGATCAAAATCATTAACAACTACACGAAATGTAAAAGTGAATTGTACTTGACTTAAAATCACAACGGCATGCTCTGCAATGCACGGAAACGAGCAATCTCAAAACAGCACACCCCTCAGGGATGTCTGCCGGCACGGACACCCCCTCAGGGATGTCTGCCGGCACGGACACCAGAACACAGCTCACCGGACAGGACTCTGTGGGCACCACGAGTGGACTGCTCTGTGCATGACCCCACAACCCACGACTCAATGTAAGATCCACAGGAACTCTCCACTCGGAAGTACTAAGTATTTACTGTGCGGCTGGCACTGTGCTAAGTACAGTGAACAGACTGGGGAACCACACAGAAACAGTCTGTTTGTTTCAAATGTAGAGAAACCACATTCTCTCAGAACACCACGAACGTCACAAGTTTACATCAAACTTAGAAACTGCACCCTTATTAATTTCAAGAAGGCATATAATTAATTTGCTCCCCATAAGGATATGGATTACTTAAGTTCTCCCCACAGTCCCTTGGAAAATTGGAAAATAACCACATTAAAAATAAAAACAAGACTGACCTTTATTTTAATGTGTTAATAGTCAATGCAGGGGCCAGCACTGTGGCACAGCAGGTTAACGCCCTAGCCTGAAGCACCGGCATCCCATATGAGCAGCGGTTCTAGTCCCGGCTGCTCTACTTCCAATCCAGCTCTCTGCTATGGCCTGGGAAAGCAGTAGAAGATGGCCCAGATCCTTGGACCTCTCTCTGCACCCACGTGGGAGACCTGGAGGAAGCTCCTGGCTCCTGGCTTTGGATTGGCGCAGCTCTGTCCATTGCAGCCAAGTGGGGAGCAAACCATCGGATGGAAGACCCCTCTCTCTGCCTCTCCTCTCTCTGTGTAACTCTGACTTGCAAATAAATAAATAAATCTTTAAAAAAAAAATAGTCAGCCAGTGCCGTGGCTCACTTGGTTAATCCTCCACCAGCAGTGCCAGCATCCCATATGGGCACCAGGTTCTAGTCCCGGCTGCTCCTCTTCTAGTTCAGCTCTCTGCTGTGGCCCAGGAGGGCAGTGGAGGATGGCCCAAGTGCTTGGGCCCCTGCACCCACATGGGAGACCGGGAAGAAGCATCTGGCTCCTGGCTTCGGATCAGTGCAGTGCCGGCTGTAGTGGCCATTTGGGGAGTAAACCAACAGAAGGAAGACCTTTCTCTCTGTCTCTCTCTCACTGTCTATAACTCTACCTGTCAAATAAATTAAAAAAAAAATAGTCAATGCAGTCACTGAAATCAAAAGGTATGAGCTAACTATACTCAGATTTTCAAAATTACTTCATGTATTTAATTTTTTTTATTATTATTTTTTTGACAGGCAGAGTGGACAGTGAGAGAGAGAGACAGAGAGAAAGGTCTTCCTTTGCCATTGGTTCACCCTCCAATGGCCGCCGCGGCCGGCGTGCTGCGGCCGGCGCACTGCGCTGATCCGATGGCAGGAGCCAGGTGCTTTTTCCTGGTCTCCCATGGGGTGCAGGGCCCAAGCACTTGGGCCGTCCTCCACTGCACTCCCTGGCCACAGCAGAGAGCTGGCCTGGAAGAGGGGCAACCGGGACAGAATCCGGCGCCCCGACCGGGACTAGAACCCGGTGTGCCGGCGCCGCTAGGCGGAGGATTAGCCTAGTGAGCCGCAGCGCCGGCTCATGTATTTAATTTTGATTTTTAAGAGTTTGCTAAGCTCTTTAAGATTTTAGAACATCTGGAAACTGCTTTGTCTTTAAAAAAAAAAAAAGATTTATTTATTTATTTGAAGGCAGAGTTACAGAGAGGCAAAGGCAGAGAGAGAGAGAGAGAGAGAGGTCTTCCATCCACAGGTTCATTCTCTAATTGGCCGCAACGGCCAGAGCTGCACAGATCTGAAGCCAGGAGCCAGGAGCTTCATCCGGGTCTCCCACGTGTGTGCAGGGACCCAAGACTTGGGCCATCTTCCACTACTATCCCAGGCCATAGCAGAGAGCTGGATCAGATGTGGAGCAGCCGGGACTCGAACCGGTGCCCAGACGGGATGCTGGCACTGCAGCGGTGGCTTTACCTGCTACGCCACAGCACTAGCCTTTGTCTTTCAAGTCTGGCATTGTTCTTTGAGTCTCCTCTATGGAAGCTACCATTTCATATTTCACCTATAATGCGAGAGAGTACATGCCTATGATAACTAATATATTACTATATTCTCTGATGAGCCAGTGGCCTCTCCCATCAATAATCTCTTTATGATTATTATTAATTTATTATTTTCACTTACCTTCTGGACAATCTGCCTTTTTCCACTTGGCTACAATTTTAAACCCCTTTTACTTGGCTTTCTAACTCCTCTTAGCTTCACAGACGTCAACATTCCTTTAAACCCCCCAAAACTGACTGCTTCCTCTTTATACTTGAAAATCTTGCTGTTTATAATACCGCTTTGTCTCCCTGAATTATTAACATCTGAAGAATATTCTAAACGTCTGATCAACAAAGTCGCTCTCTTGTCGATCCTCATTTGAACACAGCAACAATTATCATTACCTCAGTTTACCTTTTCTTCGCCCAAACTTTCTCAAAACTCAGCTGAGCTCACCAGATCATACACTCAAACAACTTCCCCCCATTTCAGTCATCAATACTCCATTCACTCATTTACCTGAGCCACTCTGCTCTCTCCCTCACTGTCCTGCCTACCTCTCATTTGAAACCTGACTAGTAGACAAGGCAGAACTACGCCCGTCACTTCAGCCTCTCATGAAACACTGTTGCTCCCTCTTCCTCCTAAGGAACCGCCTGCTTCTCGTCTGTGGGTCTCAGCTTGAGTGTGAACTCCGTGGAGATCACAGCGTCACATCGCGCACACAGCTGCACCTTCTTGTGTGTGTCCCTCACATGCACACTGCAGCTGGTAACTACATAATGTGCCTGTTTACCTGTTTTTCCCAGATATGGCCCCTAAGAGAATGTCAGCTCCAGGGGGGCATGAACCAAGTTCTTGTTGGGTGAATACTTACTGGATAAATGGATAATTATCTGATGAAGTGCTGAGAAAACTCTGTAACACACCACCACCGTGGTAAGCAAGACCATGATGCTAGAAGTTAAAGAATGCTTTCTTTCTGTTTAAAAAAGAAGAATTCTTATGGGGGCCAGCACTGGTGTAGCAGTAAGGCTACTGCCTGCAGCTGCCCATTCCATACCGGCTCCAGGTTGAGTCTGGCTGCTCTACTTCGGATCCAGCTCCCTGCTAACACACCTGGGAAAGCATGGCAAATGGCCCAAGTCCCTGGGCTCCTGCACCCAGGTGGGAGACCCGGAAGAAGCTCCTGGCTCCTGGCTCTGGATTGGCCCAGCTCCAGCCACTGTGGCCATTTGAGGAGTGAGTCAGTGGATAGAAGCTCTCTCTGTCTCCCTCTGTCTGTAAGTCTGCCTTTCAAATAAATAAATAAACCTTTATAAATAAAGCTCATGAGAGTATTTCAGGCATGGAAAGCCAAGACACTCTGGCAAAAGATCTCTGCGAGTGAGATCCCAGTGGAAAGAACAGGTCATCAAAGAAGGAGGTACCTTTCTCTGAAGGGAGGAGAGAACCTCCACTTTGACTATGACCTTGTCTAAACAAGATAAGAGTCGGAGAACTCAAGGGGCTTCCATAGCCTTGGAAACTCATGACTGGAGCATGGGGAGATTACTGATGCCATAGACAGGAGTGTCAATTGGTAAAGTCAACAACAGGAGTCACTGTGCACTTACTCCTCATGTAGGATCTCTATCCTTAATGTGCTGTACATTGAGATTCAATGCTATAACGAGTACTCAAACAATATATTTCACTTTGTGTTTCTATGGGGGTGCAAACGGTTGAAATCCTTACTTAATGCATACTAAACTGATCCTCTGTAAAAAAAAAAAAACAAGAAATTATCAATTCCCAACTTGACTCTCACTGGGATTAAACATGACAATAGGTCTGCTCTGATTTCATCATCATTTAAAAAAAAAATCATCTATTATTTTTCACTTTATGTTTCTGTGTGGGAGCAAACTGTTGAAATCCATACTTAATGTATACTAAGCTGATCTTCTGTATATTAAGATAATCGAAAATGAATCTTGATGTGAATGGAAGGGGAGAGGGAGTGGGAAAGGGGAGGGTTGTGGGTGGGAGGGACGGTATGGGGGGGAAGCCATTGTAATCCATAAGTCGTACTTTGGAAATTTATATGCATTAAATAAAAGTTTAAAAAAAAATAAATAAAAAAAATTAAAAAAAAGACAGTATCCAGAATATATATAACAACCCTTCAAATATTTAATTTTGCTATTACCATTTCCTTATTTTTACTATATTATCTAAATATTATCAACATTTTTACAATAAATATCACTCTTTAAAAGTCAAAAAAAATAAACCTTTAAAAAAATTATATTAAAAAGTTTTAATGGACATATACAAATTATATGAAGGGACCATGTGATGTTTCAATACATATATATGTTGTATGATGACCAATCAGAGTAAATATATCTACCTCCTCAAATATCTAACATTTCTATATGTTGAAAACATCCAAAACCCTATCTTCTCATGCTTTTAAGAGAAAGGTACAGTAAATTGAAATTACCAAGTCATCCTACTACGCACAGACCCCAGAACCTCCTCCTCCTATCAGGCTATCCCCTTTCCTCAGCCCTCCCACCCTGCTTCCCTCTCCAGCGGCTGGCAAACATCATTACACTCTTAACTTCTGCGAGGTCACGGTTTTTTAGAGTCTACATAGTTGGGAGACCATGTGATATGTATCTTCCTATGCTTGGCTGTTTTCAGTTAACATAATGACTTCCAATTCCACCCAAGATGGTCTTCTCTGATGTCAATGGTCCCACCGGGATCTGTCACGGTGGCTCTCAAATGACTCCCCATGGTCCACAGCACTGCCTCTGGAACGTGGCCTCCAGACCAGCAGGCTAACAATGCGTTGTCAAAGTGACGGTTCTCAAAAATAAATATGTTTTCTTTGTGTGGACTTCTACGGTTAAGCATGTTTTATACTTTTGAAAATCTATGACTCGGAGAACCCAGGAGTGATAAGTTTGAAATACACTAATTTCTTGCACGTTACTTCAGACCACAAGCTTTGCTTTAACTGACTTTGCACTGCTATTCCATAAAACTTCAGAAGCTGGGAGATACAAGGCACCATCTTACGTCAAGAAGGAAGACAGTGGTAAACAAACACATAGGCACAGGAGTGCGTATTTAGCAATCACACAGAATAAGGAGAGTGGTAACAAACACGTAGGCACAGGAGTCCATATTTATCAATCACACATTGATCACCTGCAGGCCACACCCAACACTTCCAGAGACCTCAACGTGACGTGGCTGAGAAGTACACCTGAGAAGTAAGTAAACCCAGAATACTTAAGATTTTATCATTTAGCCATACATTAAAGATTTTATATGAAGGAAATCTTATTTACTATGTTGTAAATTAAGGATAAAAGCTATGTTTTATGCTCTTGCAACTACATCTGAGAAATAAGATAGACTTGTAATTTAAATAGAGCACAGCAACAATAAAGTACTTTCTTTAAAAAAACACTTCTCCATTTTCTTCTAAAAATTACAACAAAAGTTACTTTAATATGACAAGAATAAAAACGTAGCTGCTAAAAGATGACAATATGCATAATCTCCCTAAATGTCCCCGAGTCAAAGAGATGATTCTATAAAAAGTTTACAAACACACACTGTGGTGCTCAAGTTCATCATACATAACAACAGGCTATCTGCAGGTAACCTACACATGACAGGCTATCTGCATGTAACTACACATGACAGGCTATCTGCATGTAACTACACATGACAGTCTATCTGCATGTAGCCTACACATGACAGGCTATCTGCATGTAACTACACATGACAGGCTATCTGCATGTAACTACACATGACAGTCTATCTGCATGTAACTACACATGACAGGCTATCTGCATGTAGCCTACACATGACAGGCTATCTGCATGTAACTACACATGACAGTCTATCTGCATGTAGCCTACACATGACAGGCTATCTGCATGTAACTACACATGACAGTCTATCTGCATGTAGCCTACACATGACAGGCTATCTGCATGTAGCCTACACATGGCAGGCTATCTGCATGTAACCTACACATGACAGGCTATCTGCATGTAGCCTACACATGACAGGCTATCTGCATGTAGCCTACACATGACAGGCTATCTGCATGTTAACCTACACATGACAGGCTATCTGCATGTAACCTACACATGACAGGCTATCTGCATGTAGCCTACACATGACAGGCTATCTGCATGTAACTACACATGACAGTCTATCTGCATGTAGCCTACACATGACAGGCTATCTGCATGTAGCCTACACATGACAGGCTATCTGCATGTAACTACACATGACAGGCTATCTGCATGTAGCCTACACATGACAGGCTATCTGCATGTAGCCTACACATGACAGGCTATCTCCATGTAACCTACACATGACAGGCTATCTCCATGTAACCTACACATGACAGGCTATCTCCATGTAACCTACACATGACAGGCTATCTGCATGTAACCTACACATGACAGGCTATCTGCATGTAACCTACACATGACAGGCTATCTGCATGTAACTACACATGACAGGCTATCTGCCTGTAGCCTACACATGACAGGCTATCTGCCTGTAGCCTACACATGACAGGCTATCTGCCTGTAGCCCTACACATGACAGGCTATCTGCATGTAGCCTACACATGACAGGCTATCTGCCTGTAGCCTACACATGACAGGCTATCTGCCTGTAGCCTACACATGACAGGCTATCTGCCTGTAGCCTACACATGACAGGCTATCTGCATGTAACTACACATGACAGGCTATCTGCATGTAACTACACATGACAGGCTATCTGCATGTAACTACACATGACAGGCTATCTGCATGTAGCCTACACATGACAGTCTATCTGCATGTAGCCTACACATGACAGGCTATCTGCATGTAACCTACACATGACAGGCTATCTGCATGTAGCCTACACATGACAGGCTATCTGCATGTAACCTACACATGACAGGCTATCTGCATGTAGCCTACACATGACAGGCTATCTGCATGTAGCCTACACATGACAGGCTATCTGCATGTAACCTACACATGACAGTCTATCTGCATGTAGCCTACACATGACAGGCTATCTGCATGTTAGCCTACACATGCAGCCTCGTATGTCTGCATCTTTCCACACTACTTACAATGCCTAGCAGCAAGTACATGTTATGCACACAGATGTCCAGAGTGTTGCTTCAGGAATAATAACAAGAAAATTCGGTGCATGCTCAATTCAGTTACATATTTTTTCCAAATATTTTTAATGTGCAGTAGGCTGCTGAGCCTGTGGATCTGGAGGTCTGACTATACTATGAAAAATACACGAAAAACCAAAGCATTAAGAAAAATCTTAGTCACTGTAAAAAGCTAACTAAAGTATGGGATGCTCTCAACCATTCTCTTGCCACACTTACATTTTAATTCATTCTTCTGTGCCTCCCTTTAAGCTCCTCTAGCTCTCTCATCATCTTTAGTTACAGGCAATATTTCCAAGGTTTTATTCATTCCTCTTTGTCTACCACTATTCCTTTATTAAACCTCACAAACCTAACAATTTCAACACGATCATACAAAATTCCAACTTCTGTATTTTGTCACTTCACTTCATTGTTGGCCTTCTGAATTCCCAAAGCATGTAACAGTTGGATGACCTAACATTATCCTCAAACTCAGCACAGATTAGGCAACTTAAAAATCCTTAGTAACTTCAATCTTAATTTCACAAAAAAATCAATTTCATTCTAGCCATCCTCCAAGTTACTTTATTTCAATAGAAACAGCATTCTTCTACATTCTTCCACCCTTTATTCTCTATATAAACTGCCATCTAGTGCAATCATTTTCCCTCCAAGGAATGTCTTATCAATTTGAAATTTTTTTAAGGTTTATTTATTTTAAAAGCAGAGTTACAAGCCGGCGCCGCGGCTCACTAGGCTAATCCTCCACCTAGCGGCGCCGGCACACTGGGTTCTAGTCCCGGTCGGGGTGCCGGATTCTGTCCTGGTTGCCCCTCTTCCAGGCCAGCCCTCTGCTGTGGCCAGGGAGTGCAGTGGAGGATGGCCCAGGTGCTTGGGCCCTGCACCCCATGGGAGACCAGGAAAAGCACCTGGCTCCTGGCTCCTGCCATCGGATCAGCACGGTGCGCCGGCCGCAGCGCGCCGGCCGCGGCGGCCATTGGAGGGTGAACCAACGGCAAAGGAAGACCTTTCTCTCTGTCTCTCTCTCTCACTGTCCACTCTGCCTGTCAAAAAAAAAAAAAAAAAAAGCAGAGTTACAAAGACAGAGAGGAAGGGAGGGGGGAGGGAGAGAGGGAGGAAGAAAGGGAGAGAAGGGGAGAAGGAGAAAGAAAGAGAGAGAAAAAGAGAGAATCTTCCATCCATCGGTTTACATCTGAAATGGCTGCCAACAGCCAGGGCTGGGCTAACCAAAGCCAAGAATGTCTTCCAGGTCTCCAATCTGGGTGCAGGGACCCAAACACTTGAGCCATCTTCTGCTGCTTTCCCAGGCACATCAGCAGGGAGCTGGATTAGAAGTGGAGCAGTGGCCAGCGCCGCGGCTCACTAGGCTAATCCTCCGCCTTGCGGCGCTGGCACTCTGGGTTCTAGTACCAGTCGGGGAGCCAGATTCTGTCCCCGTTGTCCCTCTTCCAGGCCAGCTCTCTGCTGTGGCCAGGGAGTGCAGTGGAGGATGGCCCACGTCCTTGGGCCCTGCACCCCATGGGAGACCAGGATAAATACCTGGCTCCTGCCATCGGATCAGTGCGGTGCGCTGGCCGCAGCGCGCCGGCCGCGGTGGCCATTGGAGGGTGAACCATCGGCAAAGGAAGACATTTCTCTCTGTCTCTCTCTCTCACTGTCCACTCTGCCTGTCAAAAAAAAAAAAAAAAAAAAAGTGGAGCAGCCAGGACTTGAACCAGCGCCCATCCAGAGCTGTACCAGCTACACCACAGCAGCAGATCAGCGCGATGTGCCAGTCGCATCGTGCCGGCTGCGGCAGCCATTGGAGGGTGAACCAACGGCAAAAAGGAAGACCTTTCTCTCTGTCTCTCTCTCACTGTCCACTCTGCCTGTCAAAAAAAAAAAAAAGACAGGTACAAACAAACAGAAGTGTGACCAAGGTCAAAAGGTCACCCAGGAGGAAGGCTGGGCAGACAGAACAAGACTACATGCCCCTTCAGGTGTTTTTTTTTTGTTTTGTTTTGTTTTTTTTTTGGACAGGCAGAGTGGACAGTGAGAGAGAGAGACAGAGAGAAAGGTCTTCTTTTGCCATTGGTTCACCCTCCAATGGCCGCCGCGGCCAGTGTACCATGCTGATCCGATGGCAGGAGCCAGGTGCTTCTCCTGGTCTCCCATGGGGTGCAGGGCCCAAGCACTTGGGCCATCCTCCACTGCACTCCCTGGCCACAGCAGAGAGCTGGACTGGAAGAGGGGCAACCAGGACAGAATCCGGCGCCCCAACCGGGACTAGAACCCGGTGTGCCGGTGCCACAAGGTGGAGGATTAGCCTAGTGAACTACGGTGCCGACCCCCCCTTCAGCTTTAAAGAATCAGTAGATTTTTCCTGATAAAAGGTAAGGGAACTAGAGGAAACAAATACGCAAGCAAGGTTTGAAATTCAGAAGGTACACAGGGGAAAGTTGCATGAAAACTAAGCCTAGTGGGCAGAGATCTGACCCACAGAGCCTCATTATTCAGCAGAGTGATGTCCTAAGAACCTTTGACTTTTTAGCTTATTTATTTATTTGAAAGGCAGTGTAACAGAGAGAAGGGCAGACAAGCGTAGAGGATTGATTGCCTGACTGATTTTCCATCTGTTGGTTCACTCCCCATACGCCTGCAACAGCCAAGGCTGAGCCAGGTTGATGCCAGGATGCCTGGGCCTCCCATGTGGGTAGCAGGAACCCTACCCACAGGAGGCCATTACCCGTTGCCTCCCAGGGTGCACATCAGAAGGAAGTGCAGCGTGGCAGGACGTAACCAGGCACTCTGACACGGGGTGTGGGTATCCTACACAGCAGCTTAAACCTCTGTGCCACAGACCCAGCCCTCACTAAGAAATTTCAAGCAACAAAATGTAATATGAGAACTTAATTTTAGAAAAATGACATCAGACTGATAGAGGAAGATTCTGAAGGCAGTAAAAGATAATTCAGGAGAATAATGTAGTCCGCTGGGAGGAATGTGACGAACCCTTCAGCTAATGGAAGTCGCATGGACGGTACTTGGTACGTCTAGATGGGGGCTAGAGAAGACAGAAAATAAGGTTGTCTTAAGTCCCCTTCCTTTCTCCTACCCCATTTCAAATGTTCCAGCTTACTTCTGCTCCACCCAAGTTCCCTGCCCGCATTAGGGTTTCCTCATCCCTTGGATCCTGTTCTGATGCCCTTGCCAAGGCTCTCCGACAGACACCGTCTGGGTGGGACCTGACCATCTCTCCACGGTGCCCCAGAGGCTGCCCCGCCCCCAGGAAGCTACACTCACCCCCTTCCTCCCGTCCTGGGGAGGCCCCTCTGAGCTGCTCCCTCCTTGAATGCTCGCCTTCAGCCCTGTACGGTTCTCTCTGAATGCTGCCGCAACTCAGCTATCACAGCTTAGTAACTCTTCATATGAGAGGTTTGCTGTTTAAATCATTTGCTGGTTTCTGTCTTCTGACTAGACTCAAAGACAGATTGGCAAGAGTCAAAAAATAATAACATATTACTTGAAAATGATAACACTGGGATCTAATAACTAGGGAACATTTTTGAAATAAGAAAATGAAACTAAACTATTAATAGTACAACCTAAAGGGTTAGGCATCAGAAAACACAGAACTTAAGACTTTAAATGGGAATCTGACATATACAATAAAGGAAAATAACCACTAGTAATATGAGCTGAAACCCAGAAATGAAACTCAAACGTCAAGGCCTCAGCGTGCTGCTGGCAAGCCCCCGCTTCAGGGGGTGCCGCGTCACATGCTCCAGGGTCCATGCCTTACAGCCCGGGTTGCAGCCGCAAACAAGCTCAAGGTTGAGGTGAGATTCAGACTCCCACCAACCTGTGTGCAGGCCCGTTTCTTACTTTTCTTCTCCTTCCTCTTTTTTGTTTGTCAACTGTGGTAAAATTTACAAAACATACAATTTGCCAAATTAACCATTTCGAGCATGACCAGCACCCATCTCCAGCACCGCGGAGGCCGCCTTCCCCAGCTGGAACCTGCATCACTGAACACTAAAGCCCCAGTCCTCACTCCCCGGAAAGCCCAGCAAGTGCCACTCCAGTTCTGTCTCTATGACTATTCTGGGTCATAAAATGGAAATCCCACATTGTTTGTCCTTTCTGGCTTGTTTCACGTAGCCCAGTGCCTTCAAGGTTCATCCACGCTGCAGCACGGGTCAGGATTTCATTCCCTTTTCAGGCTGAATGATATCCCATTATGCACTAATAAAATAAAACTCGAAATGCAGAGTGGCCAGAGGGAAGCCGCGTTCTCTGCAAGCCTCAAGGACAAACTGCTGCACGGACGCTGTGTCGAGGACTGAAATGAAACCATTCTCCAGCTTCATCCAGACCTAGCCCATGGCCCTCGCCAGAACATGGCAGGGGCCTGCGAAATGTATAACTTCCCTGATTCGCAGTTTCCAAACACTGGTCTGTCTCCTGATGTGCCGCTACTCTGCGCCTGAATACCCATCTTCACTCCTGTGTCCATCTCCTTGCGATTCCTGGCTCGCACTGTGTCGTCCAGCACTCTGGCTGCTTCCACCTCTCAGCTGTATGAATCCTGCTGCTGGGAAGAGGGTGTGTGAACAGCCGAGTCCCCCCCTTTTCTTCTTCTGGGTATACACCCAGATGCAGAGCTGACAGATCATACAGCAATTCTACATGTAATTTTTAAATTTTATTTATTTATTTATTTGAGAGAGAAAAAGGAAGAAGCTGAGAGAGAGCACCCGTCCACTGGTTCACTCCCCAAATGTTCACAGTGGTTGGGGCTAGGCCTGCTGGAAGCTGGGATCTGGGAGGCACAATCCAAGTGTCCCATGCATGTGGCAGGAACACAGTAACCTGAGCCATCACCACCACTCCCCAGTCTCACATCACACAGAACTAGAGCTGCACTGGAGCCAGGAACGGGACCCAGGTACTACAACACGGGACACTGGGGGCCAGGAACGGAGCCCAGGTACTACAACACGGGACACTGGGGGCCAGGAACGGAGCCCAGGTACTATAACACGGGACACTGGGGGCCAGGAATGGGACCCAGGTACTATAACACGGGACATCGGGGGCCAGGAACGGGACCCAGGTACTACAACACGGGACACTGGGGGCCAGGAACGGGACCCAGGTACTACAACACGGGACACTGGGGGCCAGGAACGGAACCCAGGTACTACAACACGGGACACTGGGGGCCAGGAACGGAACCCAGGTACTACAACACGGGACACTGGGGGCCAGGAACGGGACCCAGGTACTACAACACGGGACATCGGGGGCCAGGAACGGGACCCAGGTACTACAACACGGGACACTGGGGGCCAGGAACGGGACCCAGGTACTACAACACGGGACACTGGGGGCCAGGAACGGGACCCAGGTACTACAACACGGGACACTGGGGGCCAGGAACGGGACCCAGGTACTACAACACGGGACACTGGGGGCCAGGAATGGGACCCAGGTACTACAACACGGGACACTGGGGGCCAGGAATGGGACCCAGGTACTACAACACGGGACACTGGGGGCCAGGAACGGAGCCCAGGTACTACAACACGGGACACTGGGGGCCAGGAACGGAGCCCAGGTACTACAACACGGACGCCGCTGGGCCCAATGCCCACTTCTGTACATGTTTGTGATGAGTCACCGTACGTTTTCCATAATCGCTGCAGCATTTCCAGTGCCAACAGCAATGCACAAGGACGCCTGCTATTTCTTTCCTGCTACCACTGACTGAGCACTCAACACGGGACAAGAGTGTGTACCCAAAACCATTTATTCCCTCCAGTCACACAGAATTATCACCCACCAACCACGCTGTCAAGTACTGCTCTAGCCACTGAGACGACGGTGCTGACAAAATGCCTTTTATATTCTGGTGGAGTGATACAGACAAAGGCAACAACACAGCAGGACAGATGATGACAAATGCCAGAGACAGGGACAGGAAGGAAGCAGGCAGTGTCCGAAATGGGGCAGGAGATGCCCTCCTGAGGTGACGCTGGCTTGAGGCAAGTGAGAGGAGGGCGAGAAGCCCCTGAACAGCGAGACTTGTCCTGCGCCGACGACCTCTCCGCGTGTCCTGGTCAGCAGGCTGGATGCTGCCCTTCTGCTATAGAGGACAACTGTCTTTAAGAAAGAAAAAGGCGACCCACCACTTTAGATTCGAGGGTTTCAAATGTCTGGTAAACATGTAGCAACTATTTCTTTACAGAGAAGTTAAAATGGGCTACTTCAGACTGCTGGCTGGATACACACTGGGTCTGGGAGGCCACCATGCAGGGAAAGCCAGACCAGCGCTTCTGTCAATACAGCTGTAGGCAGTGGAGGCAACAGTTATCCAGGCCAGCTCTGCAGCCATAGTGACGACCCAGGGTCTCTCCCACTCCATTCCTAGGAATAAGCCCGCCGTCTTGACCCCCAGAGCCGCCCAGGACCCGACCACCTCTGCCTCGGCATTCCAGCCTCACCACCACCTCCTGACTGCATTACAGGAGGGGACTTCGCACTGATTACTGGGCCCCAGCATCTAGAAGGACTGGCACCTGGTATGCTTTCAAGAGGTTTGCTGAATGTATCCAGCTTAGTGTGCTGATTATCCTCACTGCAGAAAAAAAAAAGGTTCAACAATGTATTAACAAAGCCGTTTTAGCGTCTTCAGTCAGCACAGGCAATCTGTATTTCCACAGTTTATCTAGAGAGGGGATGATATATGAAACTATAACTCCTCTACTGAGGACAAAGAACCAACATGGAATTTTGAAAGGACTTCTCATGGGCCGGCGCCGCGGCTCACTAGGCTAATCCTCCGCCTAGTGGCGCCGGCACACCGGGTTCTAGTCCCAGTTGGGGTGCCGGATTCTGTCCCGGTTGCCCCTCTTCCAGGCCAGCTCTCTGCTGTGGCCAGGGAGTGCAGTGGACGATGGCCCAGGTGCTTGGGCCCTGCACCTCACAGGAGACCAGGAAAAGCACCTGGCTCCTGGCTCCTGCCATCGGATCAGCGTGGTGCGCTGGCCACAGCGCGCCGGCCGCGGCGGCCATTGGAGGGTGAACCAACGGCAAAGGAAGACCTTTCTCTCTGTCTCTCTCTCTCACTGTCCACTCTGCCTGTTAAAAAATAAAAAATAAAAAAAAAAAAGAAAGGACTTCTCATGTAAAATGGGGAAGTGAAAATTTAAAGCCACTAAAAGTGAAGGGCAAATACCAAATGCCAAATAATTTCCAGGATGCAAACCATCTCTCAGAAAAGCGATTCAAGGGGCCAGTGTAGTGGCATAGTGGGTAAAGCCACTGCTTGCAACACCAACATTCCAACGGGCACCAGTTCATGTCCTAGCTGCTCCTTTTCTGATCCAGCTCCCTACTAATGACCTGGGAAAAACAGCAGAATGATGGTTCAAGGACTTGAGCCCCTGCCACACACATGGGAGACCCAGATGAAGCTCTTGGCTTCGGGCTGGCCCAGCCCTAGTCCAGCCCTGGCCGTTGTGGCCATCTGCGGAGGGAATCAGAGGAAGGAAGATTATGTGTATGTGTGTTTGTGTCTGTCTCTCTAACTCTGACTCTTGAAATAAATAAATAAATCTTAAAAAAAAAAAAAAAATTATTCGGCCGGCGCTGCGGCAGCGCCGGCACACCAGGTTCTAGTCCCGGTCGGGGCGCCGGATTCTGTCCCGGTTGCCCCTCTTCCAGGCCAGCCCTCTGCTGTGGCCCAGGAGTGCAGTGGAGGATGGCCCAAGTGCTTGGGCCCTGCACCCCATGGGAGACCAGGAGAAGTACCTGGCTCCTGCCTTCGGACCAGCGCAGTGCGCCGTCTGCAGTGCGCCGGCCGCGGCGGCCATTGGAGGGTGAACCAACGGCAAAGGAAGACCTTTCTCTCTGTCTCTCTCTCTCACTGTCCACTCTGCCTGTCAAAAAAAAAAAAGAAAAGAAAAGAGAAAAAAATGAAGAAAAAAAACTATTCACAATGTGATGGCTGAAAATAACTAATAGCTCCTTGAACATATATTTATACTAAGTATATAAATTAAATTCCATGATCCAGCCCACAAAAGCAAAACAGAAAGTGAAAATATTAAATGTCAGGAAATTCCAGAGTTTATACTCTCAGCATAGATTGCTGGACTTATACAACATTTTAGAGGATATATATAAATAACAGGAAAACTGAAAATCACTACACTTAACAGAAATATTGTCGAAACAGGGTTTCCAGAGGAAGTATAACTTTGGAATTTCCTGATTTCTGCGAAATCAAGTTTACTGTCAGGGCTTTACCATGGCAGTTTTCATTTGTAAACAGCTTTAAAAATGGAATAAATAGGGAACAAGAGGGAGCTGTGAGATATTATATGACTTTGTCTTGACCTTAACATTTATTACTTAAGTATTTTCATTATATATTAAAAGAAAACATACACTACAAAACAGAAGGTTATATGTATTAACTTATTATTAACTTCAAATGAAGACAATAATACTGCCATAATTTAAGTAGTTTAAATTTCACAAACTTTAGAAAAGTCAAAGATCTGGTATTACATACAAGTATTAAAGACATCCTTTCATATTAACTCAATCTTTGCATTATTCAAGTTTCTGCAATAACAGAGCACTATCACTGAACAGTGACTTAAGCTCCAAAACCTCACGATTCCACAAGCACCACTTAGGTCACTGGAACTGCTTCTATGCAGCAGGACCCGGGAGCGCAGGATCCTGCATTTGGCTTCCCCAGGATTCTTGTCTGCCCCAGGGCTGCCACCACCAGGAAGGCGTCCCGGAGGCCTGATACCACACCCAGACCACAGAAAGGAAACCTCTCACATCGGACCTCCGCTCTCTTTTCTAAAGTAACTGAGTAAAACTGTAAGACTGAGGAAAAAGCCGCTAAGTATTTCCTACGTGGGGCAGATAACATAAAGCACTAGTAAGGGGGCCGGCGCTGTGGCTTAGCTGGTAAAGCCGTTGCCTGCAGTGCCGGATCCCATTTGGGTACCGGTTCAAGTCCTGGCTGCTTCACTTCCCATCCTACTCCCTGCTGATGTGCCTGGGAAAATAGCAGAGGATGCCCCAAGTCCTTGGGCCCCTGCACCCATAAAGGAGACCTAGAGGAAGTTCCTGGCTCCTGGCTTCGGACTAGCTCTGCTCCAACCACTGCGGTCATCTGAGGTGTGAACCAGATTTCTCTGTCTCAGTCTGTCTCCCTCCCTCCCTCCCTCTCTCTCTAACTCTGACCATAAAAATTTTTTTTTAAATTTTCTTTTTTATAAAAACGAAACACTTGCAAGTCTCAGCAAGTTCTCCGAATCTGAAGGACCTCCTGTGCTTTTTACAACCAAAAAGCTAAAGGCCCCTGGTAACTGGCAGTGGCACATTCAGTGAGAGCAAAAAGCAGCATTAACAACCCTACAAAATACAATTCGCACCACACAGAACTTTTCTTTATGTACTCCCTCTCCCTCTCTCTCCCCATTCTCTACTCCTTTCTCCCTTTGTCTCTGAACCAACATAAGTAACATCTCTCCTACTCCTATAACTATCCAAAGTTGCATCCAATTTTCTCTCTGTAACAATGCCAGCTGGTAAGCTAATATGGGGGTATTTCCTTAACATCCTATACACTCCTTAATATGTACTGTACAAAATGACTGGCCTAAGAGATGTGGTTTTGTGGTCTAGGGTTATTCTTTTGTATGCTCTGGACATACCACTAAGCAAAATCTTTTATTTTACACACCAACCACAGGCACCCAAGTTAAATATGATCATTCACAAACAAAGCAAGCATTTGTTTATTTGCTGGAGATCATGCTAATACAACTTGCTGGAACTTTCCCTGGAATGCCTGACCACACAGGACTACAATTATCCTGGAAAATGGGCAGGTCTCAAATTTGGAATTAGATGTGAACTCAAGTCCATAGGCTTTACTGTACATCTTTACAAAAAGTAACTAATCTCTGCATCTTATTTTATAGCTTACAACATGTTCTCCCTTAAACCATCGTCAACAGTAAGAACTTTGTATCCCCCAAATATATATGATTTCAATGTGTCAACTGAAATTATATTTTAAAAGCCTTTGTGGAACAAATATTACCACCAGTTTACAGAGAAATAGACTCAAATCCTCAGAGGTAGAAGCACTAGACAAGGAGCAAAACTACAGAAATACTGTGTGCTGGCTCCCTCAGCCCTCCAATATCGAGGGATGCAGGACAGCTCCAAGGATGTCAGAATGGCATCTTGGCAAGGTTGCCACCACACCTGACCCTCAGCAACGTAGTCCCAAAATGCAATCCGATCACAGAAGGGAAACGGGAACCCATCTCCAGAGCAGAAACAGGGTAGCCAGTGCTACAAGGCAAATGTTTGCACACCCAAAATTTAATTAAGACCGAAAGAGGTCAGAAGGGTGGGGCCCTAGTGTAATAGATTTGTGCTCTTACAGTAAGAGAGACCCGTGAGCTAGCACACACATTCGCTCGCTCTCTCCCCTGTACCCACACTGCACAGGAAGCACACAGGGAGAAGACGGCTCTCTCCATGATCCACGTTTGCTGGCCCCTGGGCTCTGGTCTTCCCAGTCACAGGAACTGAGAGAAACACACATCAGTGTTGTGCACACCACTCCACAGCACTGCGTCATGGCAGCAGGGAAGACTAAGACACCAAGCACACAAGGGTGCAGGAGTGGCTGACCACTGATTTACAGTAACAAAGTAACAGTACCAAAACCACACTATGGTCAGTTTCATTCCTTGTCAGAGTCAAAAACCAAAGCCAGAGTGATT